AAGGAAAGAGGTGTAGCTTAAAGGCGAACATTGAATTTCACACTGTTAATGTGCCTGAGTTACACTTTCAGATGGTCCCAGGAGGCAGCCTTGCATTAACTGAGCAAAATGACCTGGCCGGACATCACAGGAAGACGGAGAAGCAACTGCTTCCTTTATAACGCCATTGATTATTTAGCCTGTGGGTTCAAACTTCAAAAACTGACTATTTCAGTATAAATCTATCCCAACAAAAAATTTCCCCCCAAAGGTTATTATTAATAGTATTTTTCAGTAGTACACTACTCAAGATCGAAATACTGTGTTTGGGTCTTTTGTTTATTCTTCTCTCTGTTCTGTCTCTTTTCTGTGGTATCAAGAATCGAATCCATGGCCACACCCATGCTAAGCAAGCATTCTAGCACTGAGCTATATCCCTAGCCTCGGTGCTGCTCATTCTTAAACACTGTCATCTCTAGGAGTTTCTGTGTTATTTTCATTGATGAATAAGACACTTTGACCTCAGAGGCAACACTGTGACCCATTGCTAGTGTATTACTGCTTTTTGAGTGCAGGGAATGGAATCCAGGGCCTTGAGCATGCTTGGGAAACATTCTACCTCTGGGCCATCACCTGAGTTGCAATTTCTAGACACTATAATTTAAAAACTAATAGAGAAACAAATCTATGTATTGATTCCTTATAAACAAGTGACAAATATACAACTTGTTAATAAATATGATCTTATTATCAACGTATCATACCGTATTCTTTTAATGTGATTTACTTACATATTTATATATTAATATTCTTTGGGGGTTTTTTGAGGCAGGAGCTCCCTGTGGCCCTAGGTGGCCTGGAACTCACTGTGCAGACCAGACTGGCCTTGATCTCATAGGGTTCCACCTGCCTCTGCCTCCCAAGACCTGGAATTAAAGGATGTAGATGTACTAATATTTAAAATGATACTTAAGGGGCTGGAGAGCTGGCTCAGCAGTTAGGAGCCCTGGCTTCTCTTCTAGCACCCATATGGTATCAAAAAACCACCTGTAATCCCACTTCCGGGGAATTCAGTGTCTTCTTCTGGCCTCCTCAGGCACTGCATGATGTGGGTGCACTTACATACATGCAGGCAAATAACTCATACACATAAAAAATAAATATTTAAAAAATGATAGTACACTTGTGCTACGAAACAAATTATGAGCAAGATAGTTGCCATTATATTTCTATGCAGATGGCAAAATATCTACTTACATGTTATTTAAAGTATACTGTTGATTTCAAATAGTATGTCATTTTTTAAGAAGTTTACTATTTTTACTTCTATGCTTTTATATCTTTTAGGTCATTTCCCAACAACTACTGGGATAAGTTTGTTAAAAGAAAGGTAATATTTCTGAGAAGAAATAAATTCTCAGTATTTTTCTTTTATTGAATTTCAGATTTGACTTTGATGTGTTTTCGATTGTGGAATGCAGGGCTGAGCTGTACTTTGGCTGCCTGATAATGTTATTTCATAGTAGAACTAAATATGAGTTTTCAGAAGAGCACCTAAGCAATCTGTCCCCTGCTGCCCCTAGATGAACAGACTTCCCATCACTTTCTGTCCTGACTCAGCTAACACTGTCCAACCCATACAGAGGGGAGACTCTCTATCTGACTTTGTCTGGATGACCTAAGCTGGCTGCAGGCCGTTTTCTTCGTAGAACTTTAAAGGCATTAATTCCAGCTGTGCCGAAGGGTGGTGGACAGGGTGCTGGTCCTGGTGTAGCCCTGGCCTTGGGCGAAGCTCTGCTGTTGACAGCCTCTGCCCTCTGCTCTCTCTACCACACAGGATCTCCATGTGTCACCGTGTGTTTTACATGTACTTGTATGGAATGGTGCTCGCGTGTGTCAGACTGCTGTGCCTGAATCATTCTTCTGTAGTTTCTTACTTATTCCCATTTTATGGATGTTCTTGAGACAAGCTCTTACTGTGTAGCCCAGGTTAGCCTGGAACTCACCAGGAAGCCCAGGCTGGTTTCCAGATCACTGCAATTTTTTGCCATCACCCTTCTGAGGAGGCTGGGGTGACAGACTTGAGCCACCACACCTGACTTCTTGCTGATCCATTTAGCTGATCTGATTACCAGACTGTCTCAGGTCACCCTTCGTGTCCTGGTGAATGTTCCTTCCGTGTATACTGTCTGTGGGTCCACCTGTTAGTGAATGGATGTTTTCCTTTTGCCTTTGTTCATTCAGTGCTGCTCGATGGGTGGTTGGACACTGTAAGTCTTCTAACCGCTTTACACGAAGCTAGAGCACACACTAAAAACCTACGTGGAAATCAACTGTATTATTAAGTGTGTTTGTGCGTGTGTGTGTGTGTGTGTGTGTGTGGACATGCACATGCATGTTTATGTGTATCTACACTTTCTGGTGGAAAGAATCTGGGTTTGTTGATTTACATGTCTGTGTGTACACATTGTTTTTTACTTCGTGAGCTGGTTCTTTAAGTGCATTATATCGACACATATATGCATATCCAAATTAGGCCAAAGTTTTGAAAGAATAATTTTAAATAGATAATTTAAATATTTTTTTCTATAGAGTTTTTAATAAAATAAGGAAGTTTCTGAACTATTACAACAAGGATTTCTCTGGAACAAACTATACATTTATGTCAAAGAAATGCCAAGACCAGAGAGGACTAGGGAGATGGCTCAGTCGAACCTGAGTTCTGATATCCCCACTACCCACATTATAACCTGGGCATGGTATATGCCTGTGGCCCAACCCTGGGAAAGCTAGGCAGGAAGCGGCTCACTGACCGCTAGTCTAGTTCAAGGGCTCACTGACCGCTAGTCTAGTTGATCTGCTGAGCTCCAGGTTGTGGGAGAAACCCTGTTTCAAAAATAAGTTGGAGAGCATCTTAGTTAGTTTTCAGTTGCTGTGATAAAACACTGAACTAAAACAACTTGTGGAAGAAAGAGTTTATTTCATCTTACATTTCCGAATGACAGCTCATTTCTGAGGCGATCCAGGCAGGAACTCAGGACAAGAATATGGAGCCTGGAGCGGAAGCAGACACCGTGGAGGAACGCTGCTCACCTACTCGCTCCCCCGGCTTGCTCAGCTACCTTTCTTATACAACCTAGGCCCACCTGCCCAGGGATGGCACCACTACATTCCTGGGCTGGGCTTTCAGGCATCAACCAGCAATCGAGAAAATGGCCCAGAGGTCAATCCAACGGAGGAAATTCCTCACTTGAGGTCCCCCGTTCTCCAGATGTGTCAAATTGACCACTGACACTAGCCGGCATGGAGGAAGCTGAGGAAGGCACTGCACTCTGATCTCTAGCCTCCATACACACGAACAGATAGATGTGCACTCGTACCCACATGTACACACAAAACATATGTGCATCCCACAAATATGTTAAAATAAAAAATAAATAAATAATAAAGGAATGGAAGGAAAGGTAGGAGAGGGGACAGAGAAAGGAAAGGAGGGAAAAAGAGAGAGGAAGAAATGGAGGAAGGAAGGGAGGGAGGGAGGAAGGAAGAAGGAAGGAAGGGAAAGAACGAACTAAGGAACAACTGTGCTGGGTGCTGAGCCCATTCCTGGCGCTGTCCCTGCAGTACCCACCGTGTCCTATAGGGGTCGAGTGAGTGTCCCCAGAGGAATTCCAGCAGGTCAGCCCCGGCCATCTTCAGCACTGTGAGAAAAGCCAAAGCAAACTGGTTTGGTTAACCTGAACGGTAAATGCCGTTGGCTACTTTTCCTACTACTTATGTTATGCTTTCCTTTCATCCACCTGCTCTGCGCGTTCAGAAAGACCCTTTCCGCGTCCCCGTCTGTGTCCACGTGTCCCTCTCTTGCCCCTCCGAGCCCTCTCTTATCTCTCTTCCTCCCCTGAGCACCTCGTCCTTCATTTCTTTTCTTCTTTTGGCCCCAATGACCTACCGTTCTCTCCTTGCTTCCCCCGTGTGACATCATTGTTATGGAGCCTTTACACAGAGTACTTGAACCGGAGGGTGGAAAAGCTGCATCATAGCCCTACGCACTGGGATCCAGGCTGAGTTACAGCCTTGTCAAGTGCCAAGCTGAAGACAGAACAAATAAGCCATTCCAAGATGAGGGATAGACCAGAAATCGGAGTGCGGTGTCAAGAAGTGACTGTAAAGATGAGCAGCAAACTTAGGATAATACTTCGCCAGGGGCCAGGCATGGTGGCTCACACCAACATGAGGGAGGATTGCCATGAGTTCCAACCCAGTCTAGGTTACATAGTGAGTTCTAGGCCAGCTGGGATTTAGAGTGGGACCCTGTATCAAACATAACGAAATGAAACAAACCAAAAATTAACACAGAGATACAGGATGGGGAGGGCTAGTGACAAAAATACGATGTAGGTGTGGGGGCTGTTGAATAATAGCAGACTGATGACACCAGGGCACTGATGGAGAATGCCGTGAGAAGAAAGGCATCATGGTTAGAAAATGGGGTTCAGAAATCAGAGCAAGGAGGGGCATCTCGGACATGATGGCCAGCCAGTGTCATGCAGGGCTGTGGACGTTGCCTGCATGCAGCCTGACCCCATCTCCTGCTAAATTTAGCAACTGTGGTCATGCTCTTTAAGTCTTATAAGACAGTTTCTTTTCTCTTTCTTTCATTCCTTTAGGTATGTGTATGTCTATATAGGTGTGTGTGTGTACATGCTTGTGTATGTTTGAGTATACATGTGTAGGTATACATGAACATGTGTGTGAGAGTTTGTAGAGGCCAGAGGTCAACTCTGGTGAACTCCCTCAGGAGCTGCTCACCTTATTTTTTGAGACATTGTCTCTCAGGTCCTGAGACTCACCAATGAGCCTAGGAAAGCTGGCCAGTGAGTCCCAGAGGATGGACCTTAAACTAGATTGCTAAGTTTTCTTTAAAATCTAGCAAATATCTAGTAAGTGTAAAAATAATTAGATACTCTCGTACACATGTATAAATGGTGGTGCTTAGTAGTTGAGATCAATAAAATACTTGTCCCTTGACCATAGGTGATGGATAAATATGGAGAGTTTTATGGCCGAGACAGAATCAGCGAGTTACTGGGCATGGATAAGGCTGCGTTGGACTTCAGCGATGCAAGGGAGAAGAAGAAACCAAAGAAGGATAGCTCCTTGTCTGCTTTGTGAGTGTCCCCTCTGCCCGCTCCACAGATGGAATGGGTTTGTGAGTGCAGGTCCTTTCCCTCTGAGGAAATCAGCAAGTGTGCATAGCGTCAATGCTCATGCTTCTGAGTACTGGGATCTGTGCAACTCTTAAGTATTGTTCCTACTAATTATTACT